AATCACAGAATCAGAGAATCATCTAGGTTGGAAAAGACCTTGAAGATCACCTAGACCAACCATTAGCCTAAAACTGACAGTTCCCAACTACACCACATCCCTCAGTGCTATGTCGACCCAACTCTTAAACACCTCCAGGGATGGGGACTCCACCACCTGCCTGGGCAGCCCATTCCAACCCCTAGCAACCCGTTCTGGAAAGAAATGCTTCCTAATATCTAGTCTAAACCTTCCCTGGAGCAACTTGAGGCCATTACCTCTTGTCCTATCACTTATTACCTGGTTAAAGAGACTCATCCCCAGCTCTCTGCACCCTCCTTTCAGGTAGCTGTAGAAGGTGATGAGGTTTCCCCTCAGCCTCCTCTTCTCCAGACTAAACACCCCCAGTTCCCTCAGCCGCTCCTCGTACAACCTGTGCTCCAGACCCTGCACCAGCTCCGTTGCCCTTCTCTGGACACGCTCGAGTCATTCAATGTCCTTTTTGTAGTGAGGGGCCCAAAACTGAACACAGGAATCGAGGGGCGGCCTCACCAGTGCCCAGTACAGGGGTGAGATCCCTTCCCTGTCCCTGCTGGCCACGCTATTGCTGACACAAGCCAGGATGCCATTGGCTTTCTTGGCCCCCTGGGCACACTGCTGGCTCCTGTTCAGCCGGCTGTCAATCAACACCCCCAGGTCCCTCTCTGACTGGCAGCTCTCCAGCCACTCCTCCCCAAGCCTGTAGCGCTGCTGGGGGTTGTTGTGGCCCAAGGGCAGCCCCCGGCATTTGGCCTTATTGAAACTCCTCCAGTTGGCCTCAGCCCATGGCTCCAGCCTGTCCAGGTCTCTCTGCAGAGCCTCCCTGCCCTCGAGCAGATCAACACTCCCACCCAACTGGGTGTCATCTGCAAACTGACTGAGGGTGCACTCGATCCCCTCGTCTAGATCATCAGTAAAGATGTTAAACAGGAGTGGCCCCAAAACCGAGCCCTGGGGGACACCACTCGTGACCGGCCGCCAGCTGGATTTATCTCAATTCACCACAACTCTTTGGGCCCGGCCATCCAGACAGTTTTTCACCCAGTGATGCATGTGCCCATCCAGGCCACAAGCAGCCAGTTTCGCCAGAAGAATGCTGTGGGAAATGGTGTCAAAGGCCTTACTAAAGTCAGAAGATCAGGAGAAGGAGATCAGGTTTGTCAAGCAGGACCCGCCTTTCATAAACCCGTGCTGACTGGGTCTGATCCCCTGGTTGTCCCACATGTGTTGTGTGATGGTACTCAGGATGAGCTGCTCCATCAGCTTCCTGGGCACTGACGTCAAGTTGACAGGCCTGTAATTTCCCAGATCATCCTTCCAACCCTTCTTATATACGGGCATCACACTGGCCAATTTCCAATCTGTCGGGACCTCCCCAGTCAGCCAGGACTGCTGGTAAATGATGGAAAGCAGCTTGGCGAGCACCCCAGCCAGCTCCTTCAGCACTCTCGGGTGTATCCCATACGGTCCCATAGAGCTGTGTGTGTCTGTGTGACGCAGGTCATTGAATGTCTGCGGGGGGGTTGTTCTCCCAGTATCTGTCTTCTGGCTGAGGAGGCTGGATTCCCTCAGCACTAGTCTTGTTATTAAAGACTGAGGCAAAGAAGGTATTAAGCACCTCAGCCTTTTCCTCATCACTTGTTACCATGTTTCCTCCTGCATCTGGCAGGGGATGTAGGCTCCCCCTGGTCTTTCTTTTGCTGCTCACATACTTCTAGAAATATTTGTTGCTGTCCTTGACTGATGAAACCAGATTAATTTCTAGCTGGGCTTTAGACCTCCTGATTTCCACCCTGCATAGCCTCACAGCATCTTTGTAATCACTGTGAGTGGCTAGTCCCTTCTTCCAAAGGCCATGAACTCTCCTTTTCTTCCTGAGTTGCAGCCAAAACTCCCTGTTCAGCCAGGGTGGTCTTCTCTGGAGCTAGCATCTCTTACAGCATCTGGGCATCGCCTGCTCCTGTGGCATTCACACTTCCTTCTTAAAGAATGAACAGCCTTCCTGGACCCCTATAACCTTCAGGACAATGTCCCAAGGGATCCTTTCAAGCAGGTGCCTGAACAAGTCAAAGTCAGCCCTTTGGAAGTCCAGGATGTCAGTTCTGCTGCCCCTTCTCCTGGCCTCTCTAAGAATAGAGAACTCTTATTATTTCATGATCGTGCCCTAGTCGGCCTCCAACTGCCACATCAGCCACCAGTCCTCTGTTCACAAAGAGGAGGTGCTGCTGGGCACCGTCTCTGGTCGGTTCACTCACCATATATACATATGCAACAGCATTAGAAAATATATTAATGTCTGTGGGAAATACTAAGAACCTTTGAAAGAAGCTGTTATCTGAGGTAAAATTACGCAATTCTTTCTTGCTCTGACACCTTAAGTGCTCATCCTTCCTACTATAAGCATTAGTGTATTTTATGCCTAATTTCCATGTATTTTCCTGTCTAGTCCATCTTCTAATCTGATACTGAACTTCTCTGCAGAATTTTTAAACATATGTGATAGGTCATGATATTTAAATTTCTCTCATCTGTGTCTGCCTGAGCACAGCAAACTGAATTTTAATGTAAAAGTACATTTTATCTCTTTCAACTCTTTCAATATATTTCCAAAAGCATTTCACCCTAGAATACCAAATCATCACCAAGCCATCCTGAAAAATCAAATCATAATTTGATACAGTCAAAACATAATTATTGTCATATCATCAAAACTGCTACTGTGTACTGCTGCTATGGTTATGCACCCCAACTTCCCCACCTGCAAAGCACAACACTTACAGCTGCACACAGGAAGGCAACGCTAGAAAAGATGACTTGCACTACATGTTTCGTGACAACTGTTCTCAGTTCAAATACTTTTTATATTATTCTGTTTATAGCCATATAAGAAATTTTTTTTAATGAGATTTACTTGCAGAGTAATTCAACTAGACTTTTTCAACTTTTGTGAATCAAAACAAAGTTTTGGTGGTGTCATTGATCTATAGAGAGAAAAGAATGGCAGAGAGGAATGAGGAGGACCTGCAAACAAGGCTGTCAAGCCCAAGCACCCTGAATCTGGCCTACACACAAGCTCAACCACAGCAAACAATTAAGTCAACGCAACTCTCATCCCTTTACTTTTCTCCAAACACAGTCTGTCCTTTCAGAGAGCACGTTATTTCTAATCACACTGTGGTGATACTTCTTGAGCAGGTACCTCTCCAAATACCCATTTGGTTATGTTATCTGGAGGCAGACTGTACTGGTCTTAATGTTATTATTTATTTTGATTACCAAAGCTGTGAAGAAATGAAAAGGTAGTTAGCTACCTCCGGGGTCTGGGGTTCTTAGCAGGTGCGTATGTGCAGTGTTGCTCACTTCATAGGGTTGCTTCCACCCTGCAGGCACTTTGGTAAGAAAGCAGCGGTAGTGTCACTCTCCCCACCACGATCCGTCTCCCCAGCAGGGCCCTGGCGGCGCGGCACTGCCTGACCGCCCGCCCTC